CGCTGGCGGAACCTCGCCAGACAGTGCTGAGAGAAGGGGGAGTCTGAGTTCTCGCATCCATTTACTACTGACAATAAGATTAACTTTTTTCTTGAGAAAAATATAAAAATAATTTTCGTTGTTAGATGTTATTCCAATGTAAGGCAATTGAAGATCTGGATACCTTTTTGGGGGGGATTCTTATTCTACTTTAATACATGGAACATGGAACGTTTTCAAAAATTCTAAAGATGAATCTTTTCTAAAGTTATCCTAGGTTTCTATTTACCTTGCTGCTAAAGAACAAGGAAAGAACTGATCATGAGCCCACCTTAATGGTGCATATATGCTTACTCTTGGATACCTTTCTACCAGTCGTTCCTTCTCCAGGGATGATTACAGAAAGATCCAGGGCAACTCTCTCCTTTGAAACAGATGCCCTCTTCTTTGTCATTGCTCTGTCCCTAAAGTTGAGACCCCTAAGCTTATTATACAAACTAAAAAGGTAAAAGTTTCATGGAGGAATGAAAACCAAGTGGTAATGTGTAAATCTTATGTAATAATATTTTGAGGCAAAAATTAATGGGCAACATGGTAGTAATTTGACTGATTTTAGCTTTTGGTGTCTGGAAATTTTTGCTTCGTATCTCATTTTCAAAGAAATAAAAATTGAGCCAAAGCTAGAGAAAGGTGTTGTTTCTGAGTTTGACAAGGGCCCAATACATCTTTGCAGTAAATTCTTAGTCAAAAAGAATCTACCTCATATGATTCAATCCTTAATCTGAGTTCCAATTTCAGAAGAGATTTTTATCACAGAAAAGAAGTTCACATTAAGAATTTCTTCTTAAAAGAAAATCCCACTGCCTGAGATCAGTACTTGGTCTGCCTGTCCCAGGGAGACAGCATCACTTTTAATGAGGAAAATGACTTAACTTTCATCACAGGGGCACATTTAATCAGGCCCAAAACCTCTAGACCTGGTCTCTACCCAGTGAGGACTCCTGAGGCAATTCACTTAGTCTTTAAGAGTGCCAAGGTCCTTATTCATAAACGTGGTTAACAACACTTGCCTCCTCTGCCCCAGGAAAGGGTTGGGTAGGTTAAATGAGGTGATGTATGTGAAGCTGCTGTAACTATAACACATTACTGTCATTAACATTCCATCAGTTCTGTGTTCAGCCTGAAAACATCTCCTGTGTTCTAGGGTCAGCCAGACATTATACAGGCAGAGCAACTCTATAGTATGAGATTTTTCTGATTAACCTGGATTTCAACATTTCTATCCCATTGTTCATACAAGGATCTGCCTCAGACTGTGTTCTTACTTAGTTTAGAGAATAAGACCACTTAGTTTTTAATGAGATGTGTAAATGTACATACCACAATTAGAAGTCTATCTATGAATAATATCATATAATAATCCTTTCTTTCTGAATGATATGGAATGCTCAATAATGGAAAAAATATTTTATTTTAAAAAAAAAACTGATCAAGTACCAAAAAAGAGAATGCAACTTGGAAATATCTCTGGAAAGGGAAAGGGCAAAGGTCTATCAGAGGTGTCTGCTTCCAAATCAAGTAAAATTTACCCTTCAGAATCAGATACAACTTGGCCTCTGTACCTTTGACGATGACTCAGTGTCAAGAAAGACATTCCTCTTACAAGAGCTGGGTGTGAATTGTGACTACCACAGAAGAAAATGCTTTCACAGAACGTCACTGGCAGCTGTGGAAGCTGGATTAGAAAGGAGTTAATTCTAAGAACACAAATAAATGAAATCTTTATACATGGGTATTACGGAACACCATTTTTTGACATTTATAAAAGAGTAGACTTTGACCTCACTTGGAATATGCATGTGATCTGTCTCCCATTCCACCCATAGTATTACCAGCACATTATTATTTGAACATACCAGAAGAGAAATAGCATTCCGTCACTGGATCAACATGTTACTTTAGAAGTCCCATCTTAGCACAAAGAATGTGTTGACATGGATAGGATGCATACTTTTTGAAAACCTCACACAGCGAAGCCAGTAAGTCACCCAGAAAGCCAACTCCATTTAAATTCTTACGAAACATCTCAGAAGAAATGCAAAACACTATTTAAAAATCACCATTGAAAGTGAAATACTTTCAGCAGCAGCTAGCTGGGAAAATAAAGGAAAACGTGGAGAATTTTCCTCTACTTAAGGAGCCCATCTTACTTGTATTTTAAGAAAAGTCGGAGGGCATATGTTTGATTCCAGGTTGATTCTAATTCACTGAGCAGGTTTCTATGACATCCTCAAAGAGGTGAAAAGTTCTGATGAAAAACTCAGATGGCCCAGCTTACAACTGTAATATCTAATTCAACGACCTCCTGGGAATTCCGACGGCTTTCCTTGCTAATCTCAAGCCAGTTAAACTGCTGGGTCTCAGTTTCTGCTCTCTCCGTGTGCCTGCACCCACCGCTGTAACTAGGCACAGCAGTCACGAGGAGATTCTTTCTGTACATGTACATTTACACTTTCATCTAATGAGCCGCGCTTGAAACAGCTCCCAAGTAACCACTTCCCAAGTGTTCATTAGGGCGGGGGACAGCCACGTTGGAATGACTGCATTCAAGCCATGTCTGAGATTAGGGATTGACCAAATTTTTCTATAGAGCTCCAGACAGTAAACGTTCAGGCTCTGCAGGTCATGAAGTCTGTCACAAATTTTCTACTTTGTCACTGTAGCATGAAATTAGTTATAGAAAATACAAAAACAAGTGAGTATGGCCATATTCCAATAAAACTTTATTCATGAACACACATTTGAATTTCACATAATTTTCACATGTTACACAATTTTTTTTCTGTTTTTCCAGCCATTTAAAAGAAACATAAAAACTGTTCTTAACCAACAAACCATGTAAAAACGGACAGGAGGGCTCATGTGACCCATAGGTCACGGTTTGCCGACCTCTAACTTAGGGTCTCAGAAGAGAGGAGAGTACTGGTGGAACTCCCAGGAGTCACGCAGAGGGATGAACTACAGGTACAGCCCTTATTCCAGGACTAAAGTCCAATCAAAACAGTGATCAGTCCCGTCCACTGCATGCTCTCTTCCTAACCACATGGTAGCGTTATCCTTTTTCACACTCTTCTTGTCAGTGTGCCTACGTGACTTGCTTTGGCCAATGAGATGTGAGAAGTGCTGTGTCTCTCTTCCAGGTGAAAATACAGAGTAAACCACAAGACTTACCAACGTTAGAGCAATTATGAATGGGCATAGTACCCACCATTGACCCTTAGCACACGTATTCTGAGTAAGAAATAAAAGCCTGCTGCATCCAGCCACTGAAAGGATGTTTTATTTACCGGTCAGCCCAGGCTGTACTAAATGCAATTAGCCTGTACTAAATTCAATTGGTTTATTCAATTCTGTGAATCAGAGGAGACCTGAAGTTCCTTAAAGTGAAATATTTATGCACACTTCAGCAGAAGACAGACACTTTGCCAACAGGAAAAAGTTTAACAATACACCATAGATTGTTGTTCTGGATCTGTGACCTATAAAGAAAACTATTAAAAATAGAAGAGAAACTTTTAATGCTACTATTCAATGCAGATGGAAGTATTATAAGACAGACAATCTCATATTGAGCTGGTGGGAAACAAAACTGCTATAATCTTTCTAGAAAGCTATTTTCCTGTTTACATCAATATCTTTCACAATTTTTAAGCTCTTTGACTACAAACTCTACATTTAGGAATCTAGCCTAAAAATAATAATAATAATAAAGAATTCAGGCAGATATTTTTGAATAATGACACCTGTTCTTGTTAAACTAGTAACAAAAAACTGGAAATAATTGGATGAAACTTTACAGGAAAAGCTAAAATATATTTTGATTTAATTTTTCATACAATAAAAATTATACAACTATTTAAAATCAAACTTATAAAGAAATGTCATGATAAAAGCCAGATTATATTATATGGTATATATAGTGTAATAAAGATAATTTCATGATGCAGGCATGTTGTATATATTTTACATATAGTACATGTTGAAAGACAGAAGGCTGAAAAGAGACATGCCAAGACATCATAGGGTTATAAGTGATTATAATTGTATTCATTGAAATTTTTATATTTTCCAATTCTTCTACAAGGAACATGTATTACTGTTATAATCAAAAAGGCGAATCAAGGTATTCTTAAATAGTCTTCAATAAGCCAACTCCAGTTTCATCCTCAGAATGTACCAGTTGTATTTTCTGTTTCCATAAGCGGTGAAATCCAAGTATTCTCTTTATTGAAGTACCTTCCACCACCATTTTCTAACATTTTACCTAGAACCCAAGTTAAGTTGTCAGCATACAACTCTTACTGGATGGAGGCTCTTTGGGGCTTCTTTCAGGGTTCTTAGTGTTCTGAACAAAAAGAAAATTGGACAAGCCACTCAGACGAGGCAGTAAAGGTACAGATTACTGAAGGTGAAAATGAGGTAGTCTGCAGGGCGGAAGTGGGCCAGTGAGCAGACTCAGCAGTGGCCCTGAGAACAAGGAAAGGGGGTTTTATCTACATTCCTGGGTTGGCTCCCCCTCATGTAAAGAAGGCACTGGAACATTTCTCCTATCGAGAACTCACTTGGTACCCTGCCAAACTCAAACTGCCCTGCTGAAAGACCGGCTTGGCTTCCTGCCAGATGTTCACACAGGACTGAGAACAGCAGTTTTTGATTGTCCCTACAAATGGCACCAGATTCAAGTGAAGTATTGAAAATAGCACTTTCTGATCAGTACTTGTACAGCACTTAGGAGCCCTGGAGTCATTTTGGGTCCTGTGATCTGCTCACGTTCTCCTGGTTTTTATGAGTTTTGACATGTTCCGCCCAGGCTGGCTTACCCCAGCCTCCAAGCCCTACCTCTCCCCGTCCCCCCAGCAGCCCTAGAGGGCCACATACATGGGGAAAAGCGGGTCTTGCCTTCTTCCCAGGGCTGCAATCTATTAATTCAAAATTTATTACTATTGAAATTGATTTGTTACCTTCATTCCAGTGAGTGACTTGCTTTCGGGGATTGCGGAGATCTGTCAGCCTTGCCTTTGCAGTCTTATCCACACCGCCACAACACGTATTAGTGGCAAAACAAGGTGATTCATGCTCACTCCTGCTGACCAGGCGTTTCACCAGCAGCTGCCTGTTTTGCTCCGGCATCCTGGCTCCTTTCACTTTATGGGGTCACTATCTGGCTTCCTCAGAAGTACTTGCTGGATCCTCTGTATTCAGCTAGCCAAACAAGACAGGAGAGAAAAGAGAAAAGTCAGACATCACTCTACCCTCCCTCGACTTGCCACAGTCACTTTAACCCCCAGGCCTTATGGGAAATGTAGTCTTTCTGTATCCTCAGAAAGGGGAAGTGGGGTTGGGGGACATCCCACTACAAACCCGCTTCAGGAAGCTGAAAGTAGCTCTGAGCTCAATACTACATATTCCAATTTATCTTATCCCTTTATTAAAAGAATTCCCCCACTCAGTTCATCCTTCTGTTGGATGATCAAAACTAGTTTTGAATCTTACCTCTAAGAAACTTTTCTAAATGCCCCAGCCAAAATGAACTTGTTTCTTCCTCCCTGGTCCTTCTCAGAGTCTGTCTCGTATCAGAGGAAATCCTGTATGTTCTTCCTTCATCAGAGAAGAGGGATAAACCGTGATCTCCTGTTGTGTATAGCATGGTGCCTGCCTGGAGCAGGCACTCAGAAAATGTTAGCTCCCTTACAGTGCTTTGACTCAACATCTGCAGAGGTTAATGGAACAAAAATACACCGTACTCATATGTCACTTAAATGGTGCTGATTTTTAGTTCAGTCTCTTAACAGATATTATCTGAAGAACATTTATAAGGAAGTTCAGAAGAACCATCCAACAAGCACATGAGCTTTAAAACCTCTTTGGGGATTGATTTAAGAACCAAAGGCTCTAGCATAAGATTTCTTATTCCTCTGATAATCCTGTCGTATTTTGCAGATTTTAAAACTCTCTGTGGAGCTTTCCTTTTCCTGGAAAACCCATATTCTTCAGTAAATCAACTTTTCAGCCCCGTGGGTATAAAAACAGACTGTGTTGTGAATGTGCTTTAGCTTTACTGAGTTTGCAGGCAAATGGAAAGAAAAGCAAAGAAATAAAGTAAAAGTGAGAGGTGTGAACTTTCCCCATCCATCTTAATGGAGTGCTAACCTTCCTGCCTCAAGGTGACCCTTTGAATTCTAGAACTATTAAACAATGAGCTGAAATCCAAACAATCAGTCTGGGAATGAAATCTCCTTGAGAAAGGACAGCTGTGGCCAGTTTTGACCATGATTCAAGCTTAAGAAAGCAAACAAACCCACCGAACTGATTTGAGCTGTCCTCTGTTAGTTTTAGGCTCTAGAATCTGCCCCCTTTCCTCCGCCTGGAGTGATCATCCTACTTGAAAAGTGGAGGGGTGTAGAATGTGGCCTTTTGGGGACTGGTGCCTAAGGTAAGGTCCACTGAACCAAAGGCTCTGTTTTTGGTCAAAGTGCCTCAAAACTCTTCAAGTCTCAGGGACTGCTGGTTTTCACCACTTGGAGTGATCTATCTGATGCCTAGTGCTGAGGACTGCATGGAGGAAGGAGGCAGGAAGCAACAGAGTTTGATAAGAACCACCACCTCTCCCCCAAAACACAAACCCCAGGACTAACTCCAAACCGTTCTTCTTGGTAGTCTCCTCATTTAAAAAATAAGAGGACTGGAACCAAACACCGACCCTCTGCTGATTCTGTTGCCTGATGATTGGGTGAAAGCACAGGAGAAGAAAGAAGTCTGTGAAATCTAGTCAAAGGTGGACTCCCCTTCCAGGTCTAGGACCCACCTCCTGTTCTACCTAGGACAAATTCTTCAGTGTCTCTTAAAATATAAATAACACTATTGCTTCATAATTATACTGCTCTGAGAGCCAAAGGACATCTTTATGGGAATAAAAAGCAGTCAAAATAGTAATTATTATTTCCTGACTGGTAGGAGCTTGGGAGACGTTTTCGAGGAGCTTTCCTCACCTGATTCTCTTTCCATTTCTTGCACATCTCAGTTCTGCTCGGCTAATTGCTGCAGACAAAGAAACAAACAAAAGTTCCCACCAGAAATCCAGAGGAGAAAATATTGAAAAGTAAAACACTAAAATGTTAGCAGCATTGTTTCAGAGTATGAGGACTTGGGTAATTTTTGTTTATTTCTCTTTGTTGTAATTTCTAAATTTTCCATACAAGTATATGTTACTGCCAAATGTTTTGATAAATATTTTTGACTGAAAAAGAGCAAACACTCAACAGATACTGTATGCTCAGTAGACTTGTTATTAAGCACCTCTTCCCAAGTTGCTGTGCATGAATTATACAATCATAAACCCCAGATTCATAGGTTATTCTATTCCACTTGTTTAGTTTGGCGTATATGGTTACTGTATACTATTCTATCAGTTGTTTTATTTAGTGTGATATATATGGATACTTTCTAATGAGATATGATATCAGATTACTAAAAACCCACATGATCCCACCTATCTGGTAACTGATATCGTAAATTGTCGTATATATTAACATAACAGACAGCTAAGTTAGAAGCAATATTATAGGCTCCCTTGAGAGAGTCACTGCAAAGGGTGACAACTGTGGCTGGAGGTGCATCTGTTGCAGGCCAGGCCTCAAGATAAAGATGGAATGACCAGGCCTACGTGCCTCCCAAGGGAGAAGCAATAGACTATAATTGGTATCACCTGGTCTAATAAAGTCTAGCTAGACATCAGTCACCCCGTGGGTGACCAGGACCTCCTGACTCATCGCTTCTAGAAAAGGTCCTTGCCCTTTCCATGTATACTTGCTGTGTGACTGACTTGCTTCCCCTTAGGATCAATGTTACCCAAGCAGCTACACTTATAATCTTATTGGTTGATCATAGTTTGTTCCACATTATACCCACCTCCTGATTCTGCTCTATAAAACATTTTTTGAGAAATGGGCTCACTGGCAATCCATTTGGGGGTTCCTCTTGCCTCTGAGGTACCCCCTATAAATATTTCCTACTCTTAACCTCCGTTGTTCCTTAGAATTTATTCTTCAATTTTGGGGAACATGAATTCGACATATCTGACGTCTAACAGGTTTGGAGTTATAGTACTTCCCTATATCATTTGGAGGTCTTATGTTATCGAGATAACAAAATCAAGTTATGTGGCGCCTACACAGAGGACAAGCACTTATTATAAGGTATAAAGACAAAGTCTCTGTACTGGCAGGAGTCCGTACTGAAGCAGAGAACTCCACAGGATCCAATGGAGGACTTAATTTTCATTGGTGGGAGAAATGACAAAGGAGAGAATCCGGGGCAAGGTTAAAATGCAAAATACAAATTATTAAATGTTTCACTATAAATAAAAGAGATGCAATGGAGAAAGTAAGTTAAGAACAGGATTCTAGGTTACAATAATTACAGAGAACTTTGTAGATTTTAAGATTATAGAAAAGAGCATTGTAATCCTACAGGTATCATTAAGTAACAAAATTACCTATGTGGCAACTATGTTAGTTTTTTGGCCAATTTAGTGTTTTCAGCATAAAACATTTGATAACCTACTTGACTGGATGTGTGAAGCTAATGAAACCGAATGTCTAAAAATGACAGGCGAGAAGCCCAGGGGTAGGCGGTCTCCAGGTCCATTCAGCGACTCAGCAGCATGAAGGATTTAGACTTCCCTGCTGCTCCTCTGTCCGCCCCCACCCTGTGCACGCCATGCTTCCCGCACAGCAGCTAGATGGGGATGGGTATTCCCGGTGCCACGGTCTCACCACACTCCAAATGGTAGGGAAGAGTGGTGGTGAGGATGGGGCAAACCTGGCCAGAATAGCGTAGGAATCCTTCCCAGGGATCTGTCTTTAGCAGGGAGAAAGATATTTTCCAGAGGCTCCCCCAGAAGTCTCCTCCTCAGACATCAATAGCTACAAGGGGGTCAAACAGTCACCCCATCAAAGTCAGTGGAAAAGCAAGAATCTGCATTTTCAGTTTCCAGTGTAGACCATGGTCTACGCACACTTGAAAAAAAATGGTGTAGTAATTGTGTAGAGAATCAACAGCGAAAGTTGTAACTGTTATTTTCAAGAATAGATTAAAATACCCGCCTGTTAATTTACTTCTAAATTCTTTATTCCTACAGAAAACTTACTATTTCACCAAGTGACTCAAATGGATTATTTTAGCAGATATTGCTTCAAATGAAAGTGCCTGTACTCAATACATCACCCCTTCCACTGCCCTCCGGACACACAGAGCGAGTGCTCCTGAGAGCAGCCTGCAATTTTATTTTCTCTTTATTCTTCCCACAATCTTCGTTTCCTGGCCAAATTTACAGAATAGGATCATCTTACACGTTCAGAAGATAGCATTTATTTCTGCATTTTAGATTCTTGTGGGCTTTTCCTTTTAGTTTCAAATGCAACAGCAAAAACACAGCAGAAGCCAAGAATGTGTGGTTTCTGTGAGTGCTTACATTTTCTGCAAAGTTTCAAAGAAATATTTAATAAACACATTTAAAATTATACAATAAATGATGAACACCGTGTGTTGTTAGGCGTGGAAAGAAAATTGGGCAAAACAGAAATTACACAAATACACAAGACATAATTGAAGTACCTTCCACTAACTCATTCAGATGCCATCAACTAGTTTAAAACAAAAAACAAAGATGAAAGTGCATTTATCATAGTTTACATTTTAAACTAACAACTACATGTTGTTTCTGAGTAGTATTTAGAATAAAAGGCTTGCCATCCATGGTGACTTAAGAATAATTAAAAAGTGACACTAAAAATAGATTACAAATTCATATCGGCTTTGTTTTGCTTTCCAATAAAACCAAACACAAAGTAAGGAGGAATTAAAAATTGTCATGCATTATAATAATTGCTTTGTAATTAGAATACTTCATCTTTTCTAAGAGCTTATTACCTACGGAGTGCATCCATCTGCACAACTTTCTTGCATTCCCTCAGATAATTAGCTTTCAAAATATTCCTGGATGACATATTCTCCCTCTTCTTTACGCCTGAGATTTCATAAAATACAAGCACTCTTACCACAGTATTATGTTGAGACATGTAATTAACAGAAAATATTGTATGGTATTTATGTCAAACTTTACTTGAGCAAAGAGCATGCAGACCCTCAGTAATTCCTGGGTGACCTAATTAGGTAAAACAAATTTATCTCACAAGTCTTGACACCATGCTCCTTCCAAGAGCAAACATTCCAGGCCTTGGAAGCATTCCACCCTGTAGTTCATCTCACAGCTTCCCATCCAACACAGTCAAGGCGGGCTATTTCCCTTTAGTTCCTCTTCCGGAAGTCCTTATCTCTCCAGCCCTACGGAGCCAGCCGCACTTCCCCGCCGCACCTCCCCGCCGGCTCCTGCTTGTAATCTGTTTATAACTCGCCTTCTTGGAAACCACAAGGCCCTCCCATATCTTTTCTTTACCACATTGTTTCCACTACATCTTTGCTGAACTCTCTCTATAATTAAGAAGAAAGGTTCAATTTCCTTTTGTTAATATCATCATACAATTCTCTTCTCCTTTCTCGTTCATTCTGAAACCTATATAATGTTTTTGTTTGTTCTGTTTTGTGGTTTGTGTGGTCGTTCTTTCTTTCTTTCTTCTTTCTTTCTTTCCCTTTTTTGCCTACCAAACGCCTCACCTATGTCTAGAATTCACCTATGCATCATTATATTGCAATCTTATACCTGCCAGGTGAGGTGGCACACATCTATAACCCTCGTACTCTGGGAGGCTGATGCGGAAATATCACAAGTTTGAATCCCACCCAGAAAACTTAGTGAGATCTTATCTGAAAATTAAAAAAAAAAAAAATGCTTAACGAGGGCTGAGAATGCAGCTCTGTGTACAGGCCCTGGCTTCAGTCTCCAAAACTGCAAACATTAACATAGTCTTATATGCTTACACTAAGTTCTTTTAACATTAAATATAAGAAGATTATTCCTACTTAAAGATACCCATTACTCCAGGATTATAACACATCATTTGGTGATTAAATAACATAACCATTTAAGACTAAGGTTAAAAAAAGAAATGTTTCCATTTACCTCAAAATTATAATTGTTTTTCCAATTAAGAGAAACTGTCATGAGAAATGATTGGTTCTACGAGTAGGATATTTAACTAACATCATTATCCCCCTATCCAAAGCAATAAGTAAAGGAAAAAATAATTTTAAATAGTCATTTTAGTTTTCTTAGATCAATTAGTTTATTACACATCTACTAAGTACTCATATCTTTGATAAATAACTAGAAAAGACACAGAAGAAATACAAAATACAATGAGTTTGTTAAATTGATGTTTTCTATTAAGCATAATTACGGCCATCTGAACCATAAATTCATGCAAACCACGTGCTCAACAAGAGGGAATAAATAATACCATACATGACACATGGATTTAACCTCACCTGAAAAGACCACAAATTTCCAGTTCCCACAAGAGATCTCATTGATTTTCAAATTTCTACAGAAATCCATTGTCATACATGGCTACGGATTGAGAGAACAAAATCAGGTGGCTTTGGAGACTCCTTGAAGGATGAAGAGAGCATAGATGAATGAGACCGAGAGGGGAGAGCGTATACGCCGTAGACAACTGAGTTAGATAGAAATGTTACAGGCACGCAGGCAGCCTGGGCCCTCAAAGATGCCTTGCAACTGTGGGGGAGACAGACACTGCCATTGCGGGCCGGGCCTCAAGACGAAAGATGAAACAAATGCACCCACATAGCTCCCTAGGGATGGACCTCAGGGATTGATATTCTAACTAGGTGGCAATCACCTTGAAGAGTCACTGACCCAACTCCCTACAGGAAAAGCCCCTGTTCTGTATGCACGTCCATTCACGTCCGCTTGCTGCATGACTGGCTTCCCCATTTGATCCTGATTCAATCAATTTTACCTGGGCAATTATGCTTGTAATCTTATTGGTTGGCCATAGTTTTGTCCCACCTAATGCCCCCCTTACAAATTCTCATGTTTTCTACCTTGGACTTGCATT